GCCATGATTACTCCTAACACTAGTTATAGAGTAACCTTTTTCATTTTGGATTATTTTTGAAAATGTGATGAAATGTTCTAATGCTTCATCTTTAGTACTTAAAAATAGAACCCAAGTATATCTAGAATAGTCATCTACCAAGACAAATGCATATTGTTTTCCACCCAAGCTAGTAGTCCTAGTTGGCCCAAAAAGATCTATATGGATCAATTGTAATACTCTACTAGTTGACACATCATTAATGGATTTAAAAGAAACTCGCTTTTGTTTTCCTTTAGCACAAGCATCACAGATTTTATCATTATCAAATTTTAGTTTAGGCAGCCCTCGAACCAATTATCCTTGAACTAAACGTTGCAAAACACTCATACTAGCATGTCCTAGTCTCCTATGCCATAACAAATTATCATGCTCATCCCTAGCAACTAGGCATAAAATAGTCATATCAATAAAATCTAAATGCATCATGTATATATCCCTATTTTATGACCAACAAGCATAATCGAAAATAGATGCAATGTCAATCAATTTTGTAATCATTTAAAATAAAACTTTGTATCTTTTATCAAAATTTATTTTTCAAAAGATTATGCTTTTAACCCATTCACATATAAAACATTATGCAATGTTGATTATAGAGATTAAGAGCACATGCATAAAGTTTTTGAAAATGTTATGCATTAAAACTTTGTAATATTTAAACAAAAATCTATGCATAAACATTAAGAAAAAATTTAGGTCAAAATTTTGCAAAACCAAAGTTCTTGAAAAATCGATATCAATTATTAAAGAGATATCAATTACATTTTAAAAACAATTTTGACCAAAAAATAATATGATGAACTAGAGTTTATAAAACATTACTAAAAATTACCATGTTCATCATACAATATTTTTTTTAACATACATGAGATAAAACAGAATTCAACATTTTAAAACCTCATGCATGCATAAACTAAATGAGCAACCAAATAATAAAAATATTAAGTTTAGAGATTACCCATTCCCTTTTTATGTGTGGCTAGAGCATCTTGAATATCATCATCTTTATCACCATTGCTCTCACACACCTACAAGAGACATTTAAGTAGATTTTGATATCCAAATTGCTTTAGATCCTTGAACATTAGTTTCAATGCCTCTTGTTCCTTTTGGAACCCATACTTGTCTAATTTTAAATCGTTTTCCTTTCTTTAAAGGACAAGTATGTTCCTTATGACCATGATAATGACAATGTAAACATATTGTCATTATTGAACTAGATGAATTATTTAGAATGATCTCTTTTTCTCTTGTTAAGTATTCAAGCTTATCTTTCAAATTGAAATTTTATTTTCAATACTTTCAAATTTCATTTTTGAGAGTTCTAAATCCTTCTTCAAGATTTCATTTTGATTTTCAAAATCCATTTTCATTTCTAGAAGAAGTTTGTTTAATTTGAAAATTTCTTTTTCAAAGTTTTCAGATTTTATTTTTAAAAGCTCTAACTCCTTTATCAACATTTCATTTTGATTTTCCAAGTCTGTTTTAGCTTTCAAAAGAATATCATTTTTAGCAATAAATTTAGAAATCAATTTATTGTATTTGGAGTTCATGGTCTCAAACTCCGAAAATAATTTATCATAAGCATCTTGTAACTCATTAAAAGATTTTGAATTTGATATATTTGAGTTAGAAGATACCTTTGGCTCTGTGAGAGCTAATAGAGACATCACTTTTATTAGTTCTTCTTCTTCATTGTCTCTATAGATCTCCTCAAGCTTATCCCACATTTCCTTGGCACTTGAACAAGAAGAAACTCCTTTATATACATTAGGATCAATTGCACAACAAAACATGTGCATAGCCTTTGAATTTTGTTGAGCTTCCTTCCGTTCTTGAACACTCCACTTCTTTGCCTTCTTAGTAGGAGAGGAATATACTTTCTTGATTATCATCTAAGCTTCCATATCAAATGCTTTGATGAATATCATCATACACCTCTTCCAATGACGATAATTTGTTCCATTGAAGTGTGGAGGCACGTCAATAGGTCTGGATTCTTCCATGGAGAATGAACCGGAAGTAGACGCCATCTTTATCGATTTAACTCTTCCCGGATCGACTCAAGAGGCGATTAAATCTTCAAATGAGTGAGGCTCTGATACCAATTGTTGAGTTAATCGATTGACGGAATCGGCCAAGAGGGAGGTGAATTGGCAATTTAAAATTTTGTGGAAGCTCTTGTAGAAAATTGAAAGTAATTGCACAATGATTTAGAGTGGTTCGACTTTATCAACCAAAGTCTACGTCCACTACCTTAGCTATCCACACTAAGGATTTTCTAACAAATTCACTAATTTGTTATTTCTTTTGAGGACAAAGAGTAACCTTACAACTCCCTCAAGAATTATACCCCAAATTCTTGAGCACACTCTTTTTCAAAGAGAAATACACAAATTTGCAAACTTACAAGGAAAACCTCACAAGGTAAGATGGTTGCACAATTCTAGAACAAGAAAAGAACACTAAAAAATAATTACAATTGAGCACAAATGGTGTTCTTAAAAGTAAAATGAATATTGAAAGGAAAATTGGCTTGATTTGCACAAACTTGGTGTTTGATGCTTTCTCTCTTGTTTCTCTATAATTTCTTGTTTTTGATCAATGGCTTCTAAGCTTGCTTAAATACACCTTGAATCGATTATGAATGTTGGGGATGATTAGAGAAGATAATATAGCCGTTTTAGTGTGAAAACAATTAATAAAACAGCTTGGAGCGTGGGGGGAATCGGTACCCCTATAGAGAATCGGTTCCCTAAGTGTAAAATTCAAATATTTCGACCGTTACACAGGGGGGAATCGGTTCCCTCAGAGCATACTGGAATTCTCGGAGCCAAACCATTAAGGGGGAATCGGTACCCCCTTGGGGGGGAATCGGTTCCCTTTGAGCAATCTGGAATTTTTGGCTTTGAAATGGTTCGAAATACTTTGTAAAATTATTTTGAAATTGTTTTAAGATTAAAACTTAATTTTCACTTGAGTAAGGATTAAAAATGATTTTTGAAAGATTTAGAGTAATGTTTTGATATTCAAATAATTATATCGAATATACTTAGAAAACCTTTATTGCATAATCTTAAAATTCATTTAACTTAATTTGTTATATCGAAATATCAAAATGTTTTCAACATGTTCTGAAGGACCACTGTATGTCCCGAAGGACCTATGAACCCTCGACTCTTGGCATGCCAACTATACCTCTAGCTCTTCTTACACTTACATGGGCATTCTCTTTTATATCATTTCACATAGTCTTATTTCATATGCTCATAGCTTTTATCATATTCATTTCCCATATACACTTTCATATCACATGTCATTTAAGCTTTTAGCTTCTTTTCATATTCTCATATCCTTCTCATGGAATCACATAATTCATATATATACATCACATAGCATATATCATCATTTTATGTTTTTATCATACTCCTATGGTATTATCTTTTATCTCTTTTATTTCTGGTTCATATGATCTCTTACATTTATACTAAAACACACCAATATATATAGTCTCGTAAATCACTTTTACATAACTTATATCTTACTCTTATGTCTTCTCATATACATATATTCTCATATATATATCATTTCATTATCCTTATTATCACCATTAATCTCTTTTACTTACCATATTCATATCAATAACACATATACTCATGCACACATATAAACCATAACAAACACATACCTCTATGAATTCATGCATTTTACTATTGGAAATAGACTTATCATAAGTCTTATTTTCCATTGAACATCATATACTAAATAATGTACACTCACCTTGTCCTCACTAAGTTCCAATCCACTTTTGATTTCATTTCTTTCGATCGAATCTCGACTTGATAATCGCTCTGGAACTTGTTCGTGCTCGATATCTATATAATCATACATTGATACTTATTAGTATCCAATTAATATACTCTAATCTATCATTTCTTAGACCAAAAGAAAGGTTTGTTTCTATTTCCCTTGAAGTGCATTGATGCATTCAACAGTGCATCGATGCATTCTTTAACATGTGCATCGATGCACTACCCATGCATCGATACACAAATCACCTTTGATGTTTTCATTTTAAGGGGATGCATCGATGCACTCCTTATGCATCGATGCACCAATTGCATTCGATGTTTCTATATTAAGAAGTGCATCGATGCACTACTTGTGCATCAGTACACCTTCAACAATTTCTGGGATTTAACCTTGATGCATCGATGCACATTGAATGTGCACCGATGCACTCTACCCAGAATTCTCTTTTATGCCCAAAAATCCACTCTTTTCAGCTTAATACTTCTATTTTAAGCCCCTACCATGTCATTAAACTCAATTACCACTACTTAAACCAACTTATATCCATATAAACCATCTTTATCTTCTATATCTCACATGATTCTTAAAATTTAAGAATCTTGCTAAACTTTCAACTTTGTTATTAATCATCTCTAACTTCATATATCTCTTATTCTTAGTGATGACAAGTCAAATTCCTTCTCAAATTTCACTTATTAACTCCTTTCCAGAAATTCATCTAAAAACCCATTTTCTTTAATCTCTTCAATACCTTTCATCTTGTTATTTTAGAACAAATTAAGCTTTCCTTAAGCTTAATTATCATCTAATGATCATAACCCAACTTTAAAATCAATAATTAATCAACAAACAAAGAAACTCACCTTTGGCTCTTGGCTTCCACGTGAAGAAGAAGAAAGGAAAAACATAGCATATTATGGAGAAATCTCTCCTTTTCCACGTGGTTCTCTTATCTTATAAAGGAAAGATAAAAATCTTCCTTGTCAAATGACTCTTTTGCCCTTCAATTCATCTTATAATTACTAACAACTTTTATGATTAATTACCAAATAAATCATTGAACTAATCCATGGTTCTACTCTAGTCACCAAATTCTGAAACTTTACAATTTGATCACTAACCCGGTCTTGAGGATGTTACATTATGCCTTCGGCTACCGCAGTAAACTTCACAAGTTGGCTGATTATGGCCTTTTTGGATATGTTCTTTACAAATACAGACTGGATTGGTGGAAACAATACAATTACGTCCTCTCAGGTGGTCTCGATGCCGGAACTGCTTTAATGACAATCTTGTTGTTTCTTGCACTACAATCAAAGGACATTGGCCTCCAATGGTGCGGCAATAATGGGGAAGGGTGTCCCCTTGCTTCTTGTCCAACTGCAAAAGGTGTAATTGCTGATGGCTGTCGTGTTACCTGATATTTGTGTTAGAACTCATATATCTTGTATTCTTCTGACAATTACCAATGTTTAAATACAAGCTTATATTGTCAACTCTGTTCTTTCATGTCAGATTTAGGATCTTTATACTTGGATTCAAATATAAGTATTTGATACGAATATTGGTAGAAAGTAGCAGAGGCATATTTCGAATAGGAAGAGTATTTGATTGATTTGAGTGAAAAAAATCGAATTAGTCAAACTTACGGGTATTATTTTATTATTTTAAATTTCATTTAAAAAATTTCAAGTTAATGTTATGATATTCGAGTTTAGTCAAATATATTTATTCGAACTTTTATTTAAATTTCAATATAATTATTTGATTGATCCTAATTTAAACGACCCTCTCTTACTATATGAAATATATTTATATAAAAGAATTAATTGTCAAAAAGAGAAATTAAAGTACACATGTATTATAAAAGTATTCTAAAGTGGTTGAGTAACATATAATTTAAATTTGATAAAATATATATATATATATATATATATATATATATATATATATATATATATATATATATATCTAAAACGAATGAATAATTATAAAAACAATGAAATCAGTGAATAAATCACAAAAAAATTACACTACTTAGTTAAAGACCAAAATAATGACTATAGTTTTCAGTTTTTCTGTTATTCGAACTTTAAGATTCAAACTCGACTTGTTGAAATCCGAAGTAAAAGTACAAGTTGATTTGAACAACTAAAAAAATAAAATAAAAATCATTTTTTTCAAGTGGAATCGAGTTTTGTTCACCCTAATTTCAGCAAAGAAAAAGAAAAGTTGGAGAGACAAATAATTAGAAATTAAAGAGTAACTTCATCAACCAAGTGATGCAATATTGTCATTATATAGCAATTAGCATCATTGTCACAAAGGTTCTAAAAACCACACCGTTTATAAAGGGTGTGAGACTACAATATATCCCACCTCTTTTTAACACGAAACATTAACGCTGATGATTTAATGTCATCTTGTGGTACCTGGAGCATGAACTGGACTTTCATTTTCATCGGGGACGTCTTTGCCTTTCCGTTTTCTTCTCCGACCTGAAACGAACGTCATTGAAGTCTCAAGCAAACAATGCTAACCTTGCCATATAAGGACCATATAGTTCAGCAAGAAAGTTGGTGCAAATATGAGAACTTACCCATAGTGAAGCCCAGCCAAGACGGACCTCTGAATCATATCCAGCTTTGAATTTGAAGTCTTTGTCGTACGTGTGCTTGTAGACGGCACTCCAACCGTTCGAATCAAAATTGTACCAATAGCTGCAGATAAAGTAAAAATAGATATTGCAAGAAAAATAACTCGTGTCCAGAAAAAGATATATGTCGATAGCCAATAAAGAACATGTAATTCTATGAGATTCCAATATTGACGTATAGGTGTGGAGGGAGTTTTAACCTCAACTTATCAGATGGACTGAAACGTCGCTTGAACGCAAATGATACAGCATTCGAAGGCAGTGAAATGCTAGGAATAAATGACAGTGCTCCGTCCTGCAATTCGAAAACTATCAAAACCACTACGAAAAGGAAAAGTCAAAAGCCGGTAAATCGCACATCACAATGTTTCCAGCTCAGCTTTTCCTAGAAAGGAGATCGGTCACCTAGTACAAATGTTGAACAATGAGCCATTTAAGTTATTCAACAAGAATTATGCCAGTGGAACTCCCATACAAGCCACAGTAGCTTATAAACCTGATGGAAAAAATCACCTTATACGAGTATCTCAATTTCAGTTCTTCGTCTGTGTAGTGGGCTGCACCAACCCCATTCAAAATTGGACCTTTAAGAATTCCATTGATCAACAATTTCCTTGGGACTTCCTCTTCCTCTTCTTCTCTCTCCTCGAGTGTAACTTCACCCATGGGGAATCTAATTGTTGCTTTAGGCTAAGAAAAACATGATAGTAATGGAGGTAATTAGAAGGTAAAAGGGCTACGGATATGTTTAAGCGTATTAAATTACAAAAGAAGCACATCAAAAGGTGACAATCCATAAGCATAAAAATGCAGGGGCACTTTCATCAATCCGGTGTTGAGTTATGCATACAGATAATAATAACAACAGTATGATGCCACACACATCTTACAATTGAGCACCCAAAGCAATAGCTGAAAATGGATTACCAAATACTTTTTCCACTAAATCTGGCGACAATAAACACAACAAATAGCAAAAGGGAAAAACAGCTCAAATTGCAGTCATACTATCACCTGTAAAGTGTAAACAACAAGGATTGGAACTTCCTGTAATTATAAGTGAATGATTTTCACTAATAAGACACTATGGATACATATACTCACCAAACCAACATATGGAACAGGAGATGATAGTTCAACAGCATAACCAGGATCAGCAAGGTTTGAAATCATCGCGACCTCACCTCGTTTTGCCTGAGAAAAAAACACGAGATATTTAAGGGATAGCATATGTATGGCATCAAAGAAATATTCATTTAGCACTCACTTAACATTATGATATGAGTATTGGCTTCAAGAGCAATAGTAAATTTAAATTTCCCAATTCTCATAATGGACCTCTGCAGTATTCAATCCGGATTAATGAGACCAAAGCTAGATACCGGTGGTTTTACAAAAAATTATCTCTTTGTAGCTGCATCCTAATGGCCCTCACCAAATTTCTCAAATCTTACATGCAGAGCAATTCAGGGGTAAACAAGTAGAGTCAAATGATAATCCCAAGCTTTCAATTTTATACATTTTCATTAACATTAGCAACTCAAGAACTACCATTAAGAAGAAACATGCCTTTTAAAGGTAAAAGGGGGTAAACCTTGACATCGTGGGCAGCTTTGAAATGCAACTTAGGACTCACATCGAAGGAGCTCTTGATGAGGGCATTTTGTTCTTCAGGGTCATAATGAATCGACAAGTGCTTTGTAGTTAACGCCAAGAGAGGCTCCGAGATCTCACGTTTAACGTTGTTGACGAAGGAGAGTTTAAGCTTAGCAAGGTCGTCGAACAGCTTACAAGACACCTTGTGAAAGAACACGCGGCTGTCACTGTCGAACTCTGAAGTCACTCGGAGGGAGGGTCTGTTGGATATCAAAGACAGAAACTGATTGGGTTTTGTGGGTGTTGAAGCTGGTGGCGGAGACGGCGGCGGAGTGATGGGTGAGATTAGGTGATCTGGGGGTTGAGAAGATGGTTCCAGCATTGCTGTTTTGCGGGTTTGGTTTGGTGATTGTGATTCGAATGTATTGAAAGGCTTGAAATCTTAGGCTTATCAAATCATCAGGGCACCAAGGGTTGATCTTCAAGCTAAGGCTTTGCTTTGTTTGAAAGAATGAGACTGATGTTTTCTTTTGTACTGTTGTGGTGTGCCCATTGGTTTCAATTTTTTTTTTCCGAATTTTCCGAAGTTGAATTCTTATGTTTCAATTTAATTAATATATATTTTGAGTTTTTGAAATTTCATAAGAAGGGTTAGAAATAGTGATGGGACAAAATGTAATTATTTTAAGGATAAATTATGTGTTTAGTATCTAAACTATCAATTTTGATCTATTTTAATACTTAAACTTTTAATTAAGTTTTTAAAAATATTGAAGTAAGTGCTAAAATAGATCAAAACTGATAGTTTGTGTATTAAATGCATTATTTTTTTAACGGCAGGATACTGCAATAAAACAAAAACCAAACGTTAGGTATAATTTTGAAAAAAATAAAAATTTAAGTATTAAAACAGATTAAAACTAATAGTTTAGATATTAAACACATAATTTACTTTATTTATTTTTAAATTAATACCACATTAATTATTTGATTACTTAATTTATTTTTAAAAGTTTTGAATTCAAATAGTAATCATTTTTAAATGTTTATTGTCAAATTGATAAATAAAAATAAAAATCAATCCAATTGATTAAATTAATTTATTATAAAAAATACAATTTTAAAATAAAATATTGAATATTTAACAAAAGTAAATGTTCAAATAATGTTACTGTAAGAATAAATATTATATAAAACATCACAGAATTTAGGTGAAATAATACTATTTTTAGGTAGAGAAATAAGATATTCGAAAGCTTATATAGAGAAATAGGTTGTTTTATACTGTAATTCTCAAAGTCGTCCGGAGAAAATAAGGTGGATATTTCATATATGTTTAACAAACAAAATGACCGAAGAATTGGCGCAGGCAGCCCCAAACAAAGTCAAAAGTCACCTATAAACCACATTTATTTCACTACTGTAAAAATCAATGTAAAATATTAACCCTCATGCAAGAGTATATAAGGAATGAATTATGTTGTTATCATATCCTTGGTTGCATTTTCATTCATTTAGTGGCTCAGCCTCAGGGTCCCTTTCCTTCATCGCCGACCAGTTTTCGATCTCTGATAAAGAAACAAACAAAAACCCATCACAGAAATGTTGTCATATGCATCGCAGCGTGAGAAAACTAAAGATATTAGGCTTGATGAAATGTGTACGTACTTGGTTTTTCTGAAATTGCCATCAGTCGTCTTTGCAAGATGGAAGCGACAAAAAGGAAAATCGAGCACATGCCGAACATGACAGTGATGGGGAATGCATCAACCTTCATAGGTAAAATCGATGGAGCTAGTTAATAATGAAGTTAATGTGTGTGTTATGGCACATGATCGAAGAATGTTATTGTAGGAATGCGTATAACATACGTTGTACAGCACGATGCAGACAAAGATGTTGAGAGGAATGCGGAAGAAGTTCATAATGGTGCTCCTAGCTTCCTCGGGGATGTATTGGGATCTCATTTTCATAATGGATGGCCAGAATATTCCAACACAAGCCTCGAAAGTACAGAAGCCAAGAAGCTGAAGACAACCTGAGAACGAGATGCTTCCACCTTTCACTTTCGAAGGTGCTACCAAGAACTGTTGCAAATTCATCAAGTTAGGTGTCGCTAAAACAATAATCCACTGCAAGAGATAGAGAGATTTCGGAACATACATTGGTTACAATCGGAAGAAGGAGAGAAACAGAGGAAACCACGAAAACGATCTGCATGAAGCTTTCTACCCTTGGTGATGAGCGAGCCATCAATCGAGAGGCAAGGGAGCTCCCCAGCATCGAGGCCAACATGAATGTGGCAAAAATGAAACCATGAGGGATCTCTTCGTCATTGGGGCTCAAAGCAGGAGTCCAAAGAAAGACAAAGGTATACATCGAACCTTCAAACAGAGACTGGATGGCACCCAGCAAAGCAATTTTTTCATCTGTAGTGCACAAAAGATTACAGTGGTGAGGCGAATGATACGAAAAATGATCAATGATCGATGGATGACTGATAAAAAATAACAACGCATCATTGACAGTACTCAACCTGCAATGTGTAAACAAGATGTCAAGATCAATGCATCGAGTTTAAAGTTAATACTGAACACCTACCAGAAGCTATTGCTACGGCAGCACCCCTGAACTGGGTCAGTAGGTCCTTGTTTTCTGAAGGGTCTCCAAAATTTTCAGTCCATGACGATAAAATAACAGCCATCCCAATGGCAAGAAAGCATGCAGCAGCATCAAAAGGAGCCACAGGTCCAAGGGATAATGAATCAACAAGTATGTTTCCAAACAACCCAGACAAAATGGCGACGAGACCATTGCCAAGAAATATAGCCTTTGAAAATGTCAGCGATAACCATTGTTGCTCGAAGCCCCTCTGCAAAGATTCAAAACAGAAACAGACTTGTCAGAACAATGTTAAAGTAAAAGGAGATAGTTAAATCAACTGCTGCAAATAAAGCTCCTAACCGTGATAGAAAATTCAAGATATGAAGTCAGGATATTAAGAGAAAAGGGAACATATGCAAACACGTCTATAATGTAAATTGTAAGCTTGCTTGATATGCATTAAGACTTAAGAGTAAAGAGCAAGGAAGAAATGACTCACTTTATTATGTTCAGCAACAAGCCACGACTCGAATGCTGAAAAGAGAAGAGAGGTAGCAATACCTCCCAAAATACGACCTACCATCAAAACCTTGTATTGCGGAGAATGCTTCGTTATGCAGCTAAGTATGTAAGTTATGCAGTAAGTAACACACGCCCTCCGTCGGCCCCTGAATTGAACACATGAATGTATAGTTAGAGTAAGAAAAAGATGTTTCACCCGTAAAGTCTGAAAGTGAAAAGATCACAATAGAAGCCAAAGTAAGAAACTTACTGTTTGTCAGCTAGAGAACCAACAATTGTCCCAAACAACATAGAGGATCCAAAACCGGCAATAAAAAGTTGTCCGATTTCCCCTTTCCCAAAGCCATATGTGCTGTAAAGATAGTAAACATACGGACCCTGCAGCCAGTCTCCAGCTATTTATACAAAAACAACCATTTATCAAACCAAACAAGCCAGATGCATTCCCCATAGCAACAATATAAGATGTTTATATTTCACAATAACGAACATATTTCTACAGATAAAGATCATACCTCCAAAACTAATTAGAATCAGAAAGTAACTGTAACTCCAACTATAATAAGTACTGTGTTCAAGACGCATTAAAATAAGACCGTGAAGTACACAAATCAAACAAAATGCCATTAAAGAGTTGTGTAAAGAACTAGATTAATCACTAATTTTCTTATACAGTTCATCAAATTCATTACTCGGAGCTAGACTAACCGGAGTCTCCAAGAACAATGGACTAGTACTCAAAAGCTAAGTTAATTTCTTTGTCCAAACCATCACCAACGCAAAAGCGACCTATCCCCAACCCAACAAAAGAACCCCAGAGACGAGATCCCATGTCTAGAACCAGAAACAGAAAAGACCGAAAATCCACAAATCACCTATCCGAAGTCATTTTCTCGTGCTATTTACTCTTCTGTCACAAGCTAAAGCAAATGCACGAAAACAGTACTTTTCAAATCAGTCATTAATGTCAAAAAAAAAACACCGGAATCAGACTGCGAAACCCAAATCGAGGAAATGGGTATCCGGAATTACAAAAAGTTACGAGGATCAGATCAGATCGAAGGTAATATAAAAGATCTAGAGGATAGAAATGGAAATCAGATCTGGGTAACATAAAACTGAGGGAGTTAATTACCCATCATGAGAGAGTAAACAACAAGGTAATTGTTCCTGAAAGAATTGAAAGATGGGGACGTGATGATTCGATCCTTGCTGTTCTTGCTCAGCTCTAATGCTGCCACCACCGCTCCCAATGCCCCAAACACCATAAAGTAGAACAGCTCCATTGCTGCTAATGCTGCTGCTTACTACTCACCCAGTCACCCAAATTCCTCCTCTTGCACTTCTTGGGAGGGACGAAGGGAGATTTATATAAAGCTGACGAGTGTTCCTTCTGCACACTGGGTGTTCATTTTTTAGTGCTCTAGATTGGGTTTTTATCCACTGCAATATAGCATTTTATTTTTCTAGTGTATTTAGATTTATTAGTGGTCAAATCATTTAATCAGTCCCTCTATTATATGAACGTTGTGGATTTAATGTTTGCACCCTAATTTGATAAATGAGCACGAACCCCAGTGATCTCGGTGGTAAATAAATTGTTTTTATTCCTTGAGATCTCGGATTCAAGAACTAAGAATGTCAGGGGTACGAGCGATAAATATCAAAAGGTTGAGAATTATCTTTGAACATATATTACCTTGTACTTATTTTATTGATGATGCTCACCCTAAAATTTTATTTGTGCTCATCCTATTAAAAATTTTTATGTTGTTAACATATATGTCCTCTCTAAAAAATATTTTTGAATCAACCACTTACTATTTGTAGACTGATATTTTAAATTGAAGTGATTTTAATGTACTAAATTTAACTTTGGCATATCACGTGAGTTAACTAGTAGTCATATTAAAGGATTGAAGTTGTTTGAAGGATATTGGACTCTAAAGATATTTTAAAATTTCAAAAATTTAACAGACAAAAATCCAACTACATAGATAAATTTTTGGAGGAAATTTAAAGAAGGTATAATAATATTCGGTCTTAATATAATAATAAGTAATCAAATTATATCTAAAATTAACTTTAGTTTCTTAAATTTTATTTAATTAAAAGTAGGTGCCTAAAGTTTTTTCCATTATATTTTTGTGGCCATTAAAAATCTATTAAATGACATGTGTCACTTTTATATATTTTTTGAAAAGTTTATTTTTTTAAAAAAAATAGTATAAGCGTTGTCGGAACCGTCTTTCGGTTGGACCCAGAATTGGGCTTCGACTTGAAATGAGTGGGTTAGGAGTCGCCACCGATCATTTTAAAGAAATATTAGGTTGATCGGACGCCATCTTACATGATCTGCGTTTTACCAGAAACGTGTCGGGTTCGGGAGTCGGTTACGGTCAAGGAAGGATTAGCACCCTTG